CACTCTTGGAGTCTAGTAGTCTAGTGACAAAGGTTTGTGTTGACACCCTGACTACATGTGATTTGACTCCACCAACCTCTCTGCCAAAAAAGCATGAGCAATCCCTTCCCAGTGTCATTCTAACCTCTGCAAGCTTCCTGAAGAGTCACCTGTGAGTCAGTTTCAACTCAACTGGCACAAAACAACAGCAACAACATGAACAAAAAGAAATATATATATAATGATAAATTATAATGGGTGTGGATAAGTGAGGAGGAGAATCAAATATAAATTTGGAAGGGCTAAAGAAAGTATTTCTGGGAAAAGTATCACCTTGGAGAGGGAAGAGTCCAAGTGAGAGAAAGTGTGGGTGAATAAATCGGTAAATACATTGAGAAGCTGGTCTGACAAAATGTTATTGTGGATAAAGCAAGAGAAAATTAGAAAAAGGAGGACAGGAGAGAAAGATGGATAAAGGAAATAAATAAACAATAGTAAAATAAATTCCACTCAATTGATTAGGGCAATTGAAGGCCAGATATGCTTGTTATGTAAGTTATAAAGGGAATTCTGGTGGCCTGCTTCATAGTTCACTGAACTGTTAGCCAAAGGTGGCACTCCTCTGGTGGTTCAAATACACAAGTGACTTTATGGGGGTTAGTTGAGCAATGTTTCCCTATGTGATTTATAACCCATTGGAGGATCATGTGAGCCCCTTCTGACTTGACAGCAATCAGGTTTTTATATATACATAAACATCTAGAATCAATGATTTTACCTAAGTGGAAATATTTAAATGATTATTTTATGTTACCACAAGATGGCAACAGCTATCTAACAATATATCTTTTGCTCTAGTTTCCTGAGATGAATGATATGCTGAGAGAAAAGGTAACTGGAAGAAAAACGGATTTCACCTTTTTCATGATTCAGAATGCTGGAATGTTAACTGGATTCATCGCCATTCTGCTCATTACCTTGTTTGCTGGTGACATTGAATTGGAATAAGAGGAAATGGAAGATGGTGCTGTTCATAAAGGCATTTAATAAATAAAAAACATCTCCAAAGGGATTTTTAAGCTAATCCTACTTAAAAGATAATTGGTTTTCCATTGTAGGTCAAGAAAACGAATTATTGATTTCAGGTTGATGAAATAGACTTTTATTTTTTTTAAATGCTTCAAAAGTGTTTCCATTCCAGTTTGAAGTGCTTAGTATATCGGGTCTTTAGTAAATACCCACTTTTATATGTTAAATTACACACATACTAGAAAAAAATCAACAAGAAGCAAAGAGACATGAATTTGACAGTCACTCAGACACTAAGACCAAAAGGAAAAAAATATAGATACAAGTTGAGATCAAAGGTGGTTTAATTTCAAATAAAATGAAATTGCTCTAATGTTTTCAAGGACAAGGACATCAGATTGTGGAAGAGAAACAAAATGTATACAACTCAGATACAAATGATTCCCAGCCTTATAATTTGATCATAGGATTTGCTGCTTAATACGTATTTCAACTAGAGACTTCCATGGTTGTTTTGAAAACCATTTAATAAAAATGTGGTTTGTGAAGTCAATCAATTTTATTGTCCTAATAAGTACATATTTTGTCAGATACTTGACAAAGTATGTTCTTTGGCAATATTAAACCCAATTATTTTCTTTTTACTAATGTTATAATTGCCATTACAAATGGCATTCCATTATATAAAGCCAGTATAATCTCAACTACAATGCTCACTGTATTTGATTTGCAAAGGTGAAAAATATATTGCTCTGCAGAAAGAAATGAAATGTCAAGCAATATACTTTTAAAGATGAGCATGCTTATTTCACAAAGAAATTTTTTTAAAATCAGTACATAGCAATAGCTGGGCTTCTGTATGTCAAGAACTGATTAACAAGACAGCCTACAATCCTTATGGGTGGTTGGGAGAAATTTAGAAATAGTTCCTCTATGTTATGTCTACATTTTTCTTATTCTGTCTACCATGACCAGAGGCAGGAGGGAAACCAGCACACTATGGTTGTTTTTCTACCTTTTGTAGTTGTAGCTGCTAGCCAATAGTTTACAAAATTCATGGAAACTCCTTGAATGAGGATGAGATAGTGCCCAGTCCTGTACCATCTCCATGATTTGATTACTGATTGGAGTTGTATGACCAAGATAATTGTTCATTTTGTATATATTAAAAATTGGTCTGAATTTGAGCAAAACCTGAATTTATACTCTCAAGTTAGGGAAAGATGACATAACTGAAAAGAAAATGGCCATAGAGCCAAAGATGATCTCAGGAATTGTGTTTTGTCCCTTGAGCCATAAAATAGTCTCACAGCAGTAATGCAGATTTGATAAGTATTTAATATGTATGTTCATGTATAGTTTGTATTGACTGACAATTTAAAAGTTAATTTTTCACCAAGTAGTAAACACCTTTGAAACCATGATCTGTGTTACTCAAAACTCATATTTTATTTATCTTCTTAATGCCTGCCATGTACCAAGAATCACAGGGGAGAGAGAAAAATAGGGAATTGGTGATGCATTTATTTCAAAGGTATTCTTGAATGAATTCTGTTTAAATTTGTCATTATTCATCATAATCAGTGAACAGAATGTGTTTTATCAGTTTACATTAAATACCATTTTTGCTTTTTTAAAAATATAGATTGTATGTCTGAAATAAGCTATTTGAAATATTAAAACAAGATAGCTAACTGTTACTTATATAGGTCACTGTGTGTATTGTTTATGCTTCTTACTACTCTATATTTGTTTATGTTTCAGCCATATTTTTTTTTAAACAGCACTTGTGATGTTGTTCTTTATGTATTCATATGGTAACTGAAAAAGTTCTGTGGTTTGAATTCACCAATTATTCTGTGAGAGAAAGATGAGTAGTCTCCTCCTGTAAAACTTTACTATTTGGAAAATAATGTAGGGTAACTATAAAGGTAACCCCAAGTTATCAAAGTACAGCAAATTGACAGACAAGTGCTGTACCACTTAGAACAATGTTCTTCCCAAACACTATTAACACTTGGCCCAACTGACTTAAATACAAAGGCCTGCCCACCACTTCCTTATTGATTTAAATAAGAGGCTTCTAGTCCACAGCTGATTGTTAATGAAATCAAAACCACTAATCAGCTTACACTTGATTGCTAATGAAATGAAAAACAACCAGTTTACATGGACTTTTAATTAAATAAAAACAACCTACCCTCCAGAATCCAACAGCTTCGCACAAGAGGCTCCAAATGGAGGGACCTCTCCCCACTATTGAGGAATAATGATGCCAGTTTGAAGACTAAGGTACAACTGTTTCAGGCCATAATCTTTCTGATCACTTGCTATGCATCTCAGAGCTGGACAGTAAATAAGGACAGAAGAATAATTGATGCCTTTGGTCTGTGGTGTTGGAGAAGAGCATTGAACCATGAACCACCAGAAGAACAAACAGATATGTCTTGAAGAGGGTGCAGCCAGAGTGCTTTTTGGAGGCAAGAATCATGAGGCTTTGCCTCACAAACTTTGAGTATGTTGTTAGGAAAGGCTATTCCTTGGAGAGGGACATGATGGTGGGAAGTGTGGAGAGTTGGCAAAGGAGAAGAAGACTCATAACCAACTGGTTTGGCATGGTAACTGCTGCAATGGCCTCTTGAGTGTCAGGAAGCATGAGGATGGCACAAGATAGAATAGAATTCAGAACAACACTGTTCATAGAGGAACTACTATTTGTACTTGATAGCACCTAACAGCAACAACAACAATTATAAGGAAGCTCTGTTGGCCTAATAATGGTAGGAAGCTGCACTGCAATCTGAAAAGCATGTGGTTTTAATCCACCAGCTGCTCTGTGGAACAAGGATGGGCAATAATCTTCTGAGTGATTAACTACTTTTGAAAATCCGAAGGAGGGTCAGCTTGAGTCAGTTCCAACACGAGGATACACAACAACTACTATAAGGTTATTATTATGTGCTGTCAAATCTCTTACAACTCATAGTGACCCTTTGTACAATAGCTCTGAACCCTCTTCTATCTTGAACCATCCTCATTGTCTCGATACACCTATAGCATTACCCCAGTCACTGAGTCAACTAGTCTCATCCACAGTCTTTCTTGCACTGTCCTTCCACCTTTCCAAGAATGTTGCACCTCTCCAAGGACTGGTCCCTCCATGCAGTATGCCCAAAATATGTCAGATGAAGCTTCAAAGTCTTTGCCTCTGAGGAACAGCCAGATTTCATTCTCTCCAGGATGAAACTGTTTGTTCTCCTAGCAGTTCATGGTATATTCAATACTCTTCCCCAGCACCACAACTCAAAGGCCTCGATTCTTCTTCTATCATCCTTGGTCATTGTCCAGCTCTCTTGATGCATAACAAGTAATTGCAAAGATGATGGCCTGGATAAGGCACAACTTAGTCTTTAGACTGACATCATTGATCTTCAGTGCTCTGGAGAGGTCCCTGCAGAAGGAAGACCTGAAGCGTTTGCTGCAGAATATCAAGGACTTTAGCATTCAACATGGATTGCAGCTCAACATCAAGAAGATAAAGATTCTCACCACTGGGCCAATTGGCAATATGATGATAGACAATGAAGAGATTGAGATTGTTAACAGCTTCAGCTTGCTTCACTCCATATTCAACACTCTTGGTACCAGCAGCCTAAAAGTCAAAAGATGAATTGGATTGGCAAACTGTAAGGTAGAACAACTCCATAACAGTGGGTTTGGTAGAAGATAACCAGGGGCAATGGGGCATGAAGATATGAAGGGTAAAATGAACATTTTTATTTATTGTAGCCCATATTTGAAAGTATAATGTGTTAGGTGCTGTAGTGCTAACCAAAAGGTCAGTGGTTTGAGTCAGCCAACTTGTTCTGTGGGAAAAAGGTGGACATTCTCTTCCTGTGATGATTTCCAAGCTTGGAAATCTGATGGAGAGGCACCATGAATTAGAACCGACTCAACAGAAGTGGAAATAGCTCAAAGTAGAAAATATGTTAGGGAAAATCATGATTAAATTTACATTTTCTTGCATAAATTAATATGAAATTGTACAAACCTTTTAGTCAATATATACCATTTCAATATTCTGTAAAAGTTCTATAATCTCTAGACTCGAAAGATGCTAGCTGACAAACCAAAATATAACTTCAATCCATTATATGTTGAGACTTATGTTCTTTTTTTGCAATATAAAACTTTTAACTTGTTGTGTGCTATCTAGTGGCAACCAACCTGTTGCCGACCCTGCAGCAAGTTTTCAGAGGCAAATTACGTGGGAGGAGATTGCCCATCCTTCTATTGGCATTAATTGAGAATTATATCAGATTCTAGTTACCATAATAATGTGAGTAACAAACCAGCCAAACTAAAAATGTCTTCAAACAACAAGATATTATTCTCACATCCATAGGACTGCTGCTTGGGTTTCATCCGATCTCTACTGGGTGACTTTGCTTCCAATTGTGGTCCAATGGGCACTGTTGCAAGATCTGCTGAAAAAGTTATATGACAACATGAATGCACAAGTTTAATAAGGGACACAGTGAAGTATGAATTGACTCAATCTGTCATTAGAATTCTTTATAGACCATTGTTTTATTTGACCTGTTCTTATTAACTACCAATGAGTTGTTCCCTTACTCCCAACTAATGGTGCCCCAAAAATAATTGAAGGAGATATAGCCTAGTCCTGTAGCATGCTCAGATGCTATGGGTCTGAGAACTGAATGTTAAATAAGGATGACAGAAGAATTGATGCCTTTGAGGTGTGGTGTTGGAGAAGAGCACTGAAAATCCCGGGGACTGCCATATGAACAAGCAAACATGTCCTGTAGAGGGTGCAGCCGGAGAGTTCTTTGGAGGCAAAGATGTACTTCAGACATGTTGCTAGGAGGGGCTATTCTTTGGAGAGGGATATGATGCTTGGAAAGTGTAGAGGGTCAGCAAAGGAGAGGAAAACCCTCAACCAGGTAGATTGACAGAGT